TTATATTTAAAACTTAAAATTAAAAATATAATTAATTAATATTTAAATTAAAAATAATAATTAATTTTAATTAGATTGTTTTAGATTAATCCGAGCCAATCTGACACTAACTCAATTTAGTTAAATTCAAATAATTTCAATTTAACTTATATCAATTTTTAAGTTAATACGATTAGAGGCACCTGGCCCTAGCGGTCTAGTGGCAACAGCCACCCCGGTGCATTTCTCTTTTTTTCTCCGGGTTAGGTTTGAAACCCGCCCCTTACAAATATGTTCAAAAAAAAAAAAAGTTAATACGATTAGAGTCATAACCTTACTTATAACAAATAAATTAAGTCAAAATTTAAGATTAAATTCAATTTTACCAGCTCTACTTTTGGCTTAAAAGCTCAGAAGAAGCTATGCACCATGCAGCCCCCATGTGATGATGGAGGAAAAAATAATCAATGTCATGGCACATTCGTCATTCGGCCCTGTTCGCACGGGGAAAAATGTGATAGTAATTTCCTCCTTTAAAAAAATGAACATTATTATTTTTGATACATAAATATTAGTAATTAAATTTTAGACCCATAACTTGTTATTTTTATTTTTTAAAAGAAAAATGAACATTGTAATGACACGATTGTGAACCTAAATGGGTTAGAAATTTGAAACATTTGATAATAAAATTAAGAAAATTGGTTTTAAGATAATCTTTTTATATTATCATTTGGTACAACATAACGTATCATTTAAATAATTAATTTTTTTTATTTATATAAAATCTATGATATTAAATATATTTATTTATTTGATAATATATAAAAAAATAATACAATAAATTTATTTATATAATACTGCCTTGCAATTAATCCCCAACGAATTAATTCTCTTGATATTTGAAGCAGAGTTTTTTTTTTTTTTTTTATGATGGCCTAAAACAGTGGAAAGTGATTCACTTTAAAAGGGAGGATAATAAAAGATCAGCAACAATAATAAAATATTATAAGAAATTTTAGGTTAAGTTTTATTAAATATAATATTTGTAATTAATTTTATTTAAATTTTTATATTAGATTCAATTAAAATAAAATATAAAATGTAAAATTAAAATAAAATATAATATTTATATTTATTTATTTAAAAAAATTAAAAATAAATACCTTGGCAAAATCCATCTCAATCTGTCCAAAATCCAAATTCAAAGGATAAGAATTAGAGGAGTGGAGGGGCTTTGATATCCCTCCATCTCCATCCCCTTCCATTAAAAAGAACCATTGGAACATGAAAAGGAGGCAACTCCCCTTACTCTCCTCCCCTTTCCCTCCAAATCCTCTACTCCAAACAAAGGATTAGGGTTGAAACTAAACATTTGTTGGTACTGTTATATTTCTCCTCCTCTTTTTTTGTAAGTGTGTTTAATTTAGTTGGATTTGACCATATGTTTTTGGCCATCGACTGTATGCTTTTCTTAAATTACATGATTATGAAAGGATTTGATGCAACCCTTTAATCTACTTTTCCTTTTGTTTTTCCTCCTCTTCTTTGACATTTTTCCTGCTATTTCTGATACTGCTTTCATTTTTCAAACTTTTGGCTAACCCTTTTCACTGTTTGATTCAAATGGTCAAAAATGTAAAAGGGAGCATATCAAAGTAAGAAGATTTATTGGATTTATTTACTACTGTTATCAGGGAAACTTTTTAACTAATGATTTATTGATTCGAGTGAAAGGAACTTGATTTTCCTTAAGTAAGGTTTCGAGTTCGAGTCTTATAAATGAGAAAATAAGCCTAGGAGAGTTTTCCTAATAGGATCTAACGCGGTTCGATTTTTAATTAATCAGAACTCAATATAATTATTAGATATTAAGAGGTTAGTATAAAAAAAATCAAGAAAGAAAAAAAAAAAACTAACAAAAGCCAACCAGACAAAAGGTGAATCAAACTTGGGAGTCCCCACAACCATTTGAATGATGCAAAAAAGACCCCATTAATTGAAAAGAAAACTGAATTTGGGCAAAAAAGAGGACATCAATTAACAAGTATTTTTGGTGGCAAATTTAAATTACATTCTGGCTTAGCGGGAGCAAGTTTTAACACACTTTACCTAATTCTAGAGGTTGGTTTGATATGAGATGATTATTTTATGCTTTTGTTATAATGACATGTTCCAATCTCAGGGTTCATTTATAAGAATGGACCCATACAAGATTATATTTGTAGTAAAAAAAAAGGAGTGAAAACAATTCCAGGCCAATGACAGCAAATGCCTTTGCCTAATTGGTTGCAGTGCCATTGAAAGCTCCGCAAAAGTTCATTAATGGCTAAGCCAATAAATATGGTCAGTGCTCTGTGCAATGGGGAATCAGGAACCTGAATAGAAACCAGCACTAAATGAGGGCCGTAGTTATGGTGACTAATGATTTTGTGAAGGTTACTAATTTTAATAGTAATTTTATTAGTGTATAATTTTTTTTTAAATAATTAATTATGATATTTAAAAATATTTATTTATAAATTAATTTTAAAATATTAGATAATGAATATAATTATTATATTATCAATTATCTTTGTTTTTAACAATTAAATAAAAAAAAATTTAATAATTTTGATAAGCTAATAAAATTAATGGCCACCATATCCATAGCCATAAATGAGATTTGCATATTCCAGCTACTAACTAGATGATACTTACTTCTAGTACCAAACACAAAGGCCTGTTTGATGTAGAGAAATAACAGGCCCAGTTTATTTGCGGGGTTGAAGGCATATGACTGACCCTTTTTTTTCCTTTTTCTCCTTTTCTTCTGTTGACCAGTTCAAATTGTGAAACAATTTTCCCACTAGTAAAAAAAATGGGGGAAGAAAGAAAGAAAAATGTCATGTAGAAGAACATTCTTTGTTGCCCTCAATATTTCAGTGCTACATGTGATTTCTAGCATGAGCTGATTTACAAGCTCTAACAATCAGCCGCAATAAGGGCAGCAAGGAAAGCATGTAAATATCAAAAGAAATTTGATGTGAGAATTGGGATGGTGGGGATTATATTAGTTAACCAGGATGAAGTTTTAGTGTTGTAAGATGGATATCAAGTTGCGTATGCGTTTGAAATTATCAAACTTCTTGCTTGTTCGTGGTTTGGTTGGAAATTTGAGCTTGAACAACTCATTGGAAGTCATCTCTTGTTCTGCCAAACCAACCAGCTTTGCAACTAGTGCTGCACTCTCTGCATTGTGCTGCATATTGGTGTCTGTCCACAGCAGGTGAGCCAACTGCAATCTCCTATTCTTTGTGTCCAACCCAATACCCCATTTTCGGAAAAGGTTCTCTCTTTCTCCTTCTGAGAACCTCTTCTGCATTTGCTGGCTCAGCATATGCCTCTCGCGGTTTAAAGCCTTCATACTGTTCATAAGCAGTAATTGATTAAGATATATTACCAGAAAGCAAAAAAGAATGACAACAGTATTGTCTGGTGGGATATAATTAGCTATTCAGCATACCTTGAATCAGGGGTCAGTATTTGTCCATCTTCCACAATATGATTACCTTGGGAAAATGTGTCCTTGAGGAAAGACAACCTCCTCAGCTCAACCTCCATGTATATGTAATCTTTTGGATCCCCCTTAAACAGCAAGAAGAAGTAGGTCCTGTAGACCAATGAAATATGGCAAACATGCCAGAGTTCAATAATCTCTCCTCGAATCTTATCAAATTCTAAAGGCCATCCTGAGGGGCTTCCCATATCATCTTGTATTGGGTCCAAGCCTACATCTTTTACAGTCTTTTCAGCCAGAGTGTGATCTTGTTCTGTTTCAGTCACTTGTACCTGTCACACATAAAAATTGATATGAGAATAACTGCCTATTCACAGCTTTCACCCAGTTGAATATAGGCCTTATTCATCCCCATCCTAGCTGTAAGGTGCATGATTGACTCCTCTTTTTTATTTTTTTATTTTTTGACATCTTAACTTTTACCTAATTGATTTTTTTTGGGGTCAAACATGATTTTGACTGATTCAAAGACTATTGGTGCACAGCAGCTTGGACATTTAGATATTCACCCTATGAATCTAAATCATGTTTTTAACCAGATGTTAACGGTACTTGATAAAAGAAAACAAACACTTACTGCACGATCAGCAAATTTTTTCTCATTTGGAGTTGTCACATTCTGGGCTTGAAGCTCATTATCAGCATCACTCTTTGAAGAATTCTGAGATGAATTCCTGGACATCTCACTCCGAAAACTATACTTGAATGCACAGAATTTTCTTTGTATGCTCCCTGGACTTTCAGTAACATCTCTCTTGTGCCAAATAGGTATGTGACTATTCTTTTCTTCACTCTCACACCAGGGAGAGATCAAACCAGTAACACCTTCTTCACAACTTCTACTCCTTGTCAATTTCAAGCTACTGCACCCAGATATGTCTTTTTCCACAAGCCATGGGTAAGATAGCTTTTCAGAAGATGATATAATATAATCCAAATGGACACTATCTAGCTCCTTTTGTTCCTTTGAGAGGGTAGATCTGAATGCTAGATTAGCTTTATCTTCATTGTCAACATCTGTCAATACTGAAGTAGCTGCGTTTATTGCAGGAGATGATGCATTTGAATTGTCATAACTGTTTGTGTTTAATCCAGGAGATGACCTATTTGCATTGTCGTATCTGTTTGGGTTGGCCACAGGCATGTTCAAGTCAGCATATCTGATTCTCAATTCTGACTCAATGCATTTCACTTCCTTGCAAGGATCATCAAAACTTTCATCAACCCGCTCTTCATTCTCCTTGTAAGGCAGATCACTTCCACCAAAATTAATTGGCGGGGAGGAGGTTCCATGAGAGATATTCACTCTTAGGACAGGAAGCTGCGTGAAACTCTCTTCAGAACTAAAGCTCTGTCTATCTGAAGCTTGAGATGGGGTGAATGATCTAACACTGACAGCTCGGCATTGAGGGACAGCTAAAACAGGAATCTCAGTCAATGAATTTTCGTAGTCACATGTGTTTTGAACTCGCAATTTAGGATATTGATTGTCCACACCAGCCTGGAGAAGGGGGAGGATAGATTAGATAGTTAGGAGAGATCAGATCTTAAGTAATCCATAGTTTCACGCCTATACATACAGTTGAAGATCTTTCTTGTTTGACAAGTCTTTCATCTCCAACTGCTTGTTGGCGTCTTCGCAGGCCCTCAACCTCAGACCATGCACGGTTAAGTTGCTGACTCAACTCAATTATTACTTGTTTTAGCTGCATAGACCAACAGAACATGTAAGAAAAGGAACACACACAAAAGAAGAAGAAGAAGAAAGGGATTTCAGGTACCAAAAGAAGTTTTATAAGTGAATAGCCTAACATGGCCTTTATACACTTCAGGAAGCATTATTACAACTTTTGCATTAGGCTTAAGGTTTTATGTGACAAATGTGATAAGGGGAAAAGTTCACTGTGCAATATAAAGTATAATCTAAGTCTATTTAGCATTTACAGCTGCCAGAATGCATTTTCTGTTGATGGCAGTATGCTTAACAGCAAATACCCGAACCTACTTTCAAGCTCATGTCCTTCATGCAAATATCATTTTGGATACTTATCTAGAAATTGCAACCATTGGAAACTTATAGTACCTTTAAGAATTTATTAAAGCCTATTTAATCACCTTTTCAATCTCCAGGTCTTTTTCTCTCAGTAATGCAGCAAAATGAGGTGGAATGAAAGCAGTTCCTGCACTTCTCAATTCATCCTGCAGTCTAGCCAATTCCATTTGCAGTTGCTTCACCAATGCTCTATCAGACATGACGACATTGACCTGTGCATTGGTTGTCACTTCTTTAGCGCAACTTGCAAATAAGAGGGTGTTCCTTGATTGTTCAACATGTGTTCGTGCTGGACTCAGGGTACAGATGATTGCAGTTCTAGCATTGCCTCCTAACGAAGACTGAAGAATGCGCGTCAGCTTTGAATCTCTGTATGGAACATGCCCATTTTTTCCTTTTCTGCATTCAGACATTATTTTATATAAATTATTGACAGATCATATAGTAAATACTAATTCTCTGATTTAGATTGAGTTACATAAACCTTAAAGATAAGAAACAGAGAGAATAGAGACTAATTGGGGTGGAGAGGGAAAGAAACTAAAGTCAGTTGCCTGCATGTGCACAAACAATCAAAAAAGATGCTTATGCTATTTGCAATAAGAATGAGAATGGACTTTTGAAAGGAAAATATCAACAGTCATATTAGCAATCCTTAAGACTCCCAAAACAGTGCAGATGATGCCTAGCAGATGTATGGAATAATCATTTATGACACACTCAACAAGAAGGCACAGGGCAGTTAATTAATAAGTCTCTTGATACAAGATACTTCCATTTCTTTAACAACAGAGAAAATGAGCAGTCACAGCAACCTCATATGCTTGTTCATGTGTGAGATGAATAGAAGGGCAGAAATGCAAAGGCATGCTAGGAGCTTGTCTTTCAAATTTCAATCATATGATTGCCGGTTTTACATGTAAGGATCCTGAAAGTTCCGGACGCACAAAAATTTCAGATTCAAAGCTAACCTTAGCTTACGGATAACAGTTCCAAGCGTTAATAGGCTACGATTTATATGGCAACCTTCTTTCAATCTTGTCCCAGCAGATTGAGTCTGGGATGCACGCTCACTTCCTGCAAGATCAACGAAATTCTGGACAAAACAGAATGGTTTTGTGAGCAGCTTTCCAACAATTTATGACCAGTTGAATCTTTAACTACAAAATTATCTAGTCTCATACCACAGTGGCGGTAAGGGTGCTTGGTTTGTCGTTGCCTAAAAAATCCCGTGCAGAACTCTCAATTGTCTGATGGAAGAAGATCAGCACATAGTTCAGAGAAAGGAAAGTAATATAACCAAACTATAGTTGAAATTTTGTCATGAAACAACCAAATAAACTTTACCACTCTCAAGATTTGATGAGATCTAGAGCTTGTCTCGTTTAGAGAAGTCTCTCCTATCTGTCTTTGAGCTGCAAACATGCATTTGGTCATCATCAAATATGCAATCAAGACTAGTAAGAAAGATCAATCCAGTTCTTACCTTCACAAACAGATAAGAGCTCTCCAAAATGATTCCGATCCTTGACAGTTTCCTCTGTGAGTCTCTCAACAACTGTCCCTCTCTATCAAATTAGCAAACTATTAGTGTCATTAATACATAGTAGAACTTCCTCAGATTTAAAGGGTAAAACTCACCTCTGGATCATCAAGAAGTCTAAGTGGAGTGCTGTCTGCACTGATGAGATCCCTGACAGATTCATTGTAAATCTCCAGAGCAGAGAACTTCATTATAAATTTTCTTTCCTTGTGCTGAGGAAAATCATTTTAAGAGAGAACTAAGAAAAGGAAAAAAAAGAATAACAAAATGCAAGCAACCGGCTTGTGTTTTCATTACCCTCTCTATGTAGTCATATATATCAGCCATGGTGTACTCAGTAATTCCACTCATAGTGAATGTCTTTCCGCTGCTTGTTTGTCCATAAGCAAATACACTAGCTAAAAATGGTTTTATCACAAAAGGAAAAAGGAGGAAAGAGAGAGGTGTTGGTGTCAACGACATGAGAAATTTATGATTACTAAAGGAGAGGTAAAGAGATACTCACAGTTTATACCGCTTACAACCGAAAGAGCAACTTCCTTAGCTCCTTGCTCATAAACTTGCCTAGTGGAGCAATCAGGGCTAAAAACTCTGTCTACAATCAAAAACCAGAAACATCATAAATTGAATGGGACAGAAAACAGAAAAAGATTACAGACAGTGGGCAAATACAATGTCAAAGTCTATGCATGATTAGATATTGCAAATTCATCTGTCCTGCAGTCTTCCTTAATAAGAACCAAGACCTCAGAATAGACCACCTGACCTCATTAATTTTATTTGCGACTTATTCAATAGTTGCAATAGCCTAGCTTAAGATGTTATGGCTGGATAAGCATTGGTTAAATACCGAGCAACTAGGAAAATCTCCATAGAATAGTTTGTGATAAAACCAAAATCAAAGAGGAAATCCAAACTCCTAGGTTGGAAACCCACTGAAGCAAAACATCTCTTTCTTTTTTCTTTTTCTTTTTT